ACAATTTAAATTTTGTTTGTCTTGGTATTAAAGAGTGGAATTAAAGAACCAAGAGCTCCTGATCTTGCCGGAGTGGAGGGTGGGGGTACTTTCTCAGCAGCATGTGTTTACCTTAATAAAAGTATAAATGAATTAGAGGTTGAAGTGGGTTTGAGCCCCGCATGCCTTGTTTTCAAAGATTTCCAAGGATTTTTTTAAAACTTTTTTAAAATTATTTTTTGGGTTACTGCCATGTCTGACAAAAGTCAATTTCATGGCAGCAGTTTTGAGGATTGCAAAAAGGATGGGTAGCATGTGTGTTCTGCAGATTGCTCAACATCTTTTTAGGAGCTGTTATCTCAGGATACCTGTTCACATAACCCAGCCTTTTCTACCTAGCTGCCTTCCAGTTCTGACTGACCATGTGAAGGGCGTGCATTTGCTCCTCCTTCTGCTCCATCGTTGGGCTTCCTCCTGAGATAGAAAGGCCAACGACAGCAGCCAAGAAGGGCATGCATCCACCCTTCCTGCAATAAAGTTGGAGGAGGGTCCAACCAAGTGTCACCCCTCTGGATTGTCACCCAGTGCGGTCTACACTCCCACATCCCCCTAGTGACACCACTGTCACATTTGACACATTTTTGTACTGCATCAGTTAACCATTGAATTTCACCTATTACATGATCGCTGTAGAGATCACTAGTTACCGTATTGTCGATATAGTAGGATGTAATTGCCTTACCTGAATTACCAGAGGAGAAGAGGATTATCAGAATTTTCCCAGAGAAGTTGCTGAGCAGCAGTTAATAATCTTGTAGCTCTTCAGCAAAATATTCATACCTGAAAATGAGAGAGATTATTTGGGTGGAATATGTCTTGAAAGCCAACATAGCACTGTCCCTCATGGAGGCTGTTTCTGGACAGTTTGAACTAACTGGGCATTGAATAGTTGTTGTTTTTTTCCCAAAAGGGGGGGGGAGAGGACATAGTTGCGCAGTCTACACTTTTCCTCTCCCCATTTCTTCCCAGAAGCATATGACATGGTCAGAAATGGGGAGGACTGAGCAATGATGTTTTAATCCTTTCTTATAGTCTTTTGAGAATTTAATTGCCCTCTTCTGTATCCACAGCAAAATTTCCCACCCCAGTTGCTACACCGTACATGTATGTGTGTATAAAATTAAAATATGATTTTATAATACAACCCCTCAATCACCCCCTGTTGACAGTCAAGGGAAGCTGCCCTTAATAGCTATTTTGTGGTGGTGTCTGCTTTGACACAGGCTGGATTTCAATTAGTCTCTGTTATTATGGTGTTGGAAATGCAACTTTCTGCTTTGTGACTTGAGATTCCTTTTAATTGGAGAGGAAATGTTTTCCAGAGCAGATGTTGTCTTTCTCAAAAGCCAGCATGTTTAATAAGTCCTTTAATGAACTACATTAGTTTTTCTTGTTGCTGTCATTTCTGATCTAATTAAAATAATTGTTACAACAAAAATCTATCAAGTTGATGAGCAAGTGGCTCTTTTGTTGTGAAATAATCATCAGTCTAATCCATCCTATCTACAACAGCTGGCTCTTGAGCCTAGTTTTGGAGAAAGCTTTGGGTTTTAAACTTAAAGGAATCACTGTAGCAGTTGTTGGCTCTGTACATCCTAGTGAAAAATGTGATTTGTTGTTGTACCTCTTGCTTGGTTCTAGTTATAGCACCCTTGCATTTTCCTATACAAAATAGATGTCCCACTATTATCACAAGATCATGTGTGCAGACTGTACAATACATGTATGTTATTTCATTTCTTTTTTAGGAATATTGGTATAGTATATCAATTGTAAATTTCATCCTAGCACTTATGTCCATGATCTGTGAAATACCTCATAGGCACACACTAAAGACTGTCTTTTTTACCATTATCAAACAAGTTTTCAACTTTTTAACAACTTTTGTAAAATAACTTGTACAAATAGAACGTGAACCTTGTTTTCCCATTTAAATATAGATTTTATTGCTGGCAATAATTGGTAGCTTCATAGTCTTTGCTACTTCTTCACAAAAGACCCATTACTCATGGATCTTCTTTAAAAGAAATTCCACCGTTATAATTTGAGCCTAGAGAACTGAATTTATTGCAGAAACATGGCATTCTTTAATTCTGAACGCTTATTAAATTGGGCTGTTACTGAGTCAGTGTATGAGGATAGAAAGTTGTTCTTGTAATTAGGATTCCTGCTATTATGTAGAGGAGCCATAGGTCTATGGCTGTAATGCCATATCATGCATGCGGAAGATTACAGGTTAATCTCTGCTTAAGTGGCAAGCAAGTAAAAGGCCTGAGAGACTGGACCCCTTTTCACACTACACTCAAATGGTAGTACTATGATTCCATGTTAAGTGCATGGCTGCATCCCTTGGAATCCTGTGATAATCCTATGGAATCCTAGGTTAAGAGAGAAATCTTGGCAGTTCTCAGCCAGAAAGCTCTAGTGCCTCAACAAACTGCAAATCCCAGGATTCCATTGCATGCTGCAGCCATGGCAATTAGGGTAGAATCGTAGTGGTATAAATCCATAGTGAGAAAGAGCCTAAGAACATGGATACATTAATGTTTCGGACCACAGTTTTCAGAAGACTACAACCATCGTGGTTGTGCTGTTTATGGGCTTCTGGGAGACGTAGAAGAAAAGTGACTTGACTATGAAGAGCCTTTTGCCAGTTGATACAGAGGGTGTGGATCAGGAGTTTATCACACTGGGGCAAAATGCCCAAATCCCATGCAGAAACAGGATTTAAAACCCGAAAAAACCCACAAATGCGGCTTGATTTTCACACACATTGGGGTTAATGAGTAATTAACCCGGACAGAAAGTCAACAAAACGCATTTCTTTTTACTTTCGGGATTCCGGGTTAATACTCAATGTCGTGTGAAAATCAATCCACTTT